GTAGAGCTAAAACCAGAACTCTTTTTACTAGGCATAACCATGCAGAAATACGACAAAGGTGTATTTTATTTGATGTTACACATTCTCACGGCTGCTAGATTGGTGTATGCTCAAAACTGGAGGAATAAAGGAATTCCAACAGAAGAAGAGATTTTATATAAAATTTTATCGTGTGCTGAAATGGATAGGCTCACAATGGAAATGAAGGATAAGTCAGAATCAGACTACTTTGAAATCTGGGACAAATTTTATTACTGTTGTGACTCAAGGAGAACTGCTTGGTTTTCAAGTTAGTGTTAAGACAGAAATATATATAACTGTATATATAACTATATTGTATAGAAGAATATGTTTATATAGAGATAAGAATTATGTATTAATTTTATGTATTAAGAGGAACAAATTGTTAGGAATATTTATTCTGGAATGTCACATTATGTCCATCTTTGTTTTAACTGTATTATAAATAAAAAACTTTTTAAAAAAAGACTCTGAATGTCCTGATTTAGAGGATCGATTCAGAGATAAACTCGTGTGTGGCCTGAGGAACCGAGATTTGCAGCAGAGGCTTTTCGCAAAAGAAACACTGATGTTCCAGAATGCATTAGAGGAGGTCATGGTGGACGAGGCTGCCGGTGGTTCAATGAAGGCTTAACGACCTCAAAAGACTCCCTTCAGCCAAACAGCTGTGCACCATGAAACTACAGAAATACTGGAAGACCCAGACAAGGGTGATGAAATCGACCGGTTACAGAAGCAACCCATCAGATGGCAATGTCCCATTGACAAGGCAGTTCTATTCCCTAGGTGTGCCAGCTGCGGCGAAAAGCACAAGAGTCTGAGTGCAGATTCCGCACTGCAGTGTGTTGTGCTTATGGCAAGCAAGGGCACATTGCCAGAGTCTGTAAAGGGCGCCAGAGAGAAGTTCTGCCCGAAGACATCCCACAGAGAGATAAATGGGCCCCGGGACAGAATAGGGCCGGTTACTGCTCTGGAAGGAGAAACATATTAAGGACAGGAGCCCAACACCCTCTAAAAGAGAAGCTGAGACTTAAAGTCAGGCTACAAGGGCTCCCTTGTTCTATGGAACTAGACACCGGGTCAGCCCTGTCCATAATCTCTCACAAAATGTTTAGCTACATCTGCAGACAAGGCAGGAAATGAGTCCAACTCAAACCGTCAAGCCTTGTTCTGACAGACTTTCAAAATTGCCACGTAGTGGTAAAAGATGAAGCCACAGTAAAAATCAGCTTCAAAGAGTTCGAGGGTCCCCTCAACGTCATGATCAATGAACGCCAGCACACCAGTTTGATTGGGATGGACTGGTTTGATGCATCAGAGTAACCGGCATCAACCACACACAAACAGCTGACCTAGTGGCTGTATGCCAGGAATTTGTGGATGTGTTCAGCCCTAATCTAGGTCACTACAAGTGAGCATCAATCTCCCTTAACCTCGATCCAACAGTAATTCCTATCAGGATCAAACCTCACTAAAGCCTAAAATAAATGCTGAGCTAGACAAGTTAGTACAGCAAGGAGTGCTTCAACCTGTAGTTAGCAGTGTGGCAAACCCTCTTAGTAACCCCAGTGAAGCCCAATGGGGACATTCATATTTGTGCTGATTACAAATGCATAATTAACAAAGCTTTGCAGCAACATGCTTACCTAGTTCCAGTGGTAAGCCACATCCTGGCATCACTGCAGGGAGGTTGTGTATTTGCTAATCTGGACCTCATACAGGCATATCAGCAACTGCCTGTGGATGATGCCACAGCAGAGGCTCAGACAATAGTCACACATAGAGGGGCATTCAGGGTTTGTCGCCTGCAGTTTGGGGTAAGTATCGCCCCAGGGTTGTTCCAGAGTGTAATGGAATGTACACTTAAGAATATTCCAGGAGTGTGCCCTTATTTTGATGACATTCTGATTGCTGGAGAATCTGCAGCAGTCTTAGCAGAATGTCTCAGAGCAGTTCTTCAATGGTTCCGCGATGCGGGGTTGAAGTTAAAAAGAGACAAATGCCAAATTGGTGTGAACTCTACTGAGTTCCTGGGATTCCGAATAGATGCTGCTGGAATCCATCCCTCTGACTCTAAGCTTAAAGCTGTACAACAGGCTCCCAGACCTAAGTCAAAGGGGGAGCTGCAGTTATTTTTAGGGCTACTTAATTTCTATCATTCATTCCTGCCACACAAGGCAGCATTGACAGAGCCACTTCATCGGCTTCTGGATAAAAAGGCACCGTGGGAATGGATAAACATCCGCGAAAAAGCTTTTAAAGCAGTCAAATCACTGCTGTCATCAAGCTCAGTATTAGCTCACGTCAATGAAAAATTGCTTGTCAATTTAGCATGTGATGCTTCACTTTATGGCATAGGAGTAGTTTTAAGCCATCTAATGACAGATGGGCATCAAGCACCCATCGCTTACTATTCCAGAACGTTATCCCCTGCAGAGAGGAACTACGCACAGATAGACGAGGCTTTAGCCATTGTAACTGGAATTAAAAAATTCCATGACTTCCAATATGGGCACTCCTTCACCATTTTCACAGATCATAAGCCTCTCTTAGGTCTCTTCATAGCAGACAAGCATACCCCACATATCCTTTCTCCTAGGATGCTGCGTTGGTCAATAGTCACGGCTGCCTAGTCCATAAGCCAGGCAAGGAAATGGGCCATGCTGATGCACTCAGCCAACTGCCCTTGCCTTACACAGACCCTGACCCAGCACCTGCAGTTCGCATCTTGGCAATCCAGAATCTCCCTGAGATTTCCCCTTCATGCAGGAGATGTGGCTGCTGAAACTGCCACTGACAGAACACTCAGTCATGTACTGTACTGAGTATTGAGGGGGTGATATCTGCTGGCAAACCAGGTCCAGAATTTCATACTTTCACTAGCAGAAAAGATGAGCTGTCAACTCATAAAGGCTGCGTGCTATGGGGAAGTAGGGTAATAGTCCCACCCACATTAAGAAACAAAGTTTTAGAATCTCTGCATGAGGGCCATCCAGGCATAGTTAGGATGAAGGCACTTGCTTGGAGTTACTTGTGGTGGCCTGGCCTGGATAAGGACATTGAGGCTCAAGTATGGAGCTGTCAGGTCTGTCAGGAGACCCATCCTGAAATGCCTCAAGCACCATTGCATCGCTAGGAGACCACGCAAACTCCTTGGCCTCATGTGCACATAGACTTTGCAGAGACTTCCAAGGACAGGTGTTCCTCATTGTTGTGGACAGCTACTCTAAATGGCTATGACTACTGCCAGGACCATCCAGGAACTGCGCAGAATCTTTGCCATGCATGGCCAACCAGATGTATTTGTGTCCAATAACGGGGCACAATTCACAGCAGCTGAGTTCCAGTCCTTCCTGAGAACCAATATGATCTGACACGCTACCTCAGCCCCTTTCATCCTGCTTCAAATGGTCAAGCAGAATTAATGGTCAGAATGACCAAAGAAGCACTGAAGAAATTAACAGCAGGTGACTGACATCATTGTTTAGCGGATTTTCTAGTCTGCCAACATACTACTCCTTGCACCACTACGGGTCACAGTCCAGTGGAATTGAGATGGGGATGTCAGCTGACCACCAAGCTGGACCGTCTCCACCCTGACAGGGCTGCTGTGGAAGCATCGCAGCACAAACCTCCAAGAAATTTACAGCTTGGTGAGAATGTGTGGGGAAGAAACTACGGGCAGGGGGCACCTTGGGTGGCTGCTGTTGCAAAGGTGTCAGGGGCACTGTCCTATGAAGTGGCCCTGGACAATGGTCATGTAGTCCGATGCCACATAGGCCTGTTGAAGCAGCGGCAGGCTAAACAGAGCCTTGACACTGACAGTGAAAGGACCCTTGGGTTGCCTGGTGACCTTGTCATGCCAGAGTCACCCAAGACTATTAAGACTGTTCCTGTGATCTGAGATCACCAACGGACTGTGTCTCGAGTAAGCCGGCCAGTATCGTGAGCGAGTATAGCGGCACTGGCCTACCTGGCAGTAATGGACATAATGGCACTGGTCTACCCAGTACGAATGAACATAGAGGTATCGGTCTACCCAGTATGAACGAATATAGAGGTACTGGTCTACCCGAAGTAATCGGACTAAAGGACCCTGGTCTACCCAGCACAACAGGATGGATGGTTGATCGAGAGCCCTGAGCAACGTTCCGGCACACCGAAAGGACATGTAACACACCGGCCTATTTAAGTGATTACATTAAGTTTACACTAAGTATGACTCTGTCCAGGGGGACGGGGTGTTATGTATTGGTTTGAAAAGTTATGATTGCTATGAACACTTGTTGTGTTATATTTGAAAGGGTCTCCAATTGTTTCAGAGGGAAACTGCAGTCTGAAAATAAGCAGGAAAATATCCTTCAAACTGATTAGTCGCCGCCTAGTGGCGGCAATGTATAAATAGCTGTCAGTGTGACAGACTTCACTTTTGTGTTTTCAGCAATAAAGAGCAGTTGTTTTACATCGGTCTGCTCTATGTCTGAATGAACTCAATGCACAATAAGCAGTTTCTAGCACTCAGCTAGAAACTCTCATTTGGGTTTGGGGAGTGGAGCAGTCTGGAAAGAATGCTACCTTTTGCCTTGTATTTTTCAACCAGGTTAGCGAGTGCTAGAACTAGGAGGCGTCCTCTGCTTCCTAGTTCTGCTTTTCCTGATCTGAATTTTTAATTCAGTCTGCTCTTAGAGTCTGAAATGTCTTCAGCTACTAAAAGGGGACCTTTTATTTTTCCAGATTATTTTATACTATTACGTGCAGGAGGAATTAGGGTATTACAATTCTGCGTGCAGTCTATTTTATATTTAATTTATATATGTAAAGTTTTGGGGGTGTACAGTATTGTTAATTTTAATAATGATAAAACTGCAATAGTAACAGTATCAATTAGATGTTGTTTTAAACAGATGCATCATGTAGAAGAATCTTGAGGGGAAGAGGCCTGAGTTAAAGAACAGTCCTTAACAGACTGTACTACTCACTCTGTCTTTGGAGAGGTTTCACTAGTTGGGCTCTCTTTTTCAGACCTGACAAAGAACAGAAAGATATTTTAATATAATAGAAGTTACAAAGAACTCTTCTTCAGCTAAGAGTGTCTCCTTCCCAGGAAATGTCTTGGAGGAAAAAAGTTCTAAGTTAAAGAACAATCCTTGACAGACTGTACTACTCACTCCGTCTTTGGAGAGGTTTCACTTGTTGGAGTCTCTTTTTCAGACCTGACAAAGAATAGAAAGACGTTTTAATAGAAGTTAAAAAGAACTCTTCTGCGTCTAAGCTTATCTGGGAAGGATGATGGCTCTTTTGTTTTCAACCTTCTTAAAATGGAAGGGAGTTTTAGACTGGTTTTCCTCAACCTCAGCAACTTTAAGGTGTTAATATTAAGCATGGCTGGCTAGGGAATTCTGGAAGTTGACAACCACACAGCTTAAAGGTTCTGTGATTGAGGAACATTGCTGTAGATAAATTGTTCTCTGGAAAATGGCTATCATAAGCTGCAATCTACTGGAGAATTTTTTTTCTCCTGGACAAATTAAACTAAATATCACTGCATCCCAATTTGCTTGCATATAGCTAGGAATTTCAAGAGGTCTCTTAATACAGCAACTATGAACTATTTATTTAAATAAATTTGATTCAGACATTCAATAGCAGTACCACTAGGACTTATATACTGCTTCATTGTGCACTACAGCCCTCTCTAAGTGGTTTACGGAGTCAGCATATTGCCCCCAACAATCTGGGTCCTCATGTTCCTGACATGGGAAGGATGGAAGGCTGAGTCAACCTTGAGCCGGTCAGGATCGAACTCCTGGCAGTGAGCCACCACAACTCTTTCATAAATTGAATGAATTAGAATCTATGGGTGGATCTAACTTCAAGAAAAAAAATAATATGCCACATGTATAACTCTACAGGTACTCACAGCTTCTTCGAACTGGCCTTTTTCACAGGTTCTGGAGCCGGAGCTGGAGCTGGAGCCGGAGCTGGAGGCGGAGCCAGAGGCGGAGCTGGAGCCAGAGCTTCAGCTTCTGCTGGTGGTGGTGGTGGCGGTGGCGGTGGTGGCGGTGGTGGCATTAGCTCCCTAGGAAGACAAAACAGAAACAGATTAATCCCAATTTAAAGTGTTCTTTCCCAAGTTGTGTTCTTTTGTTTCCTTATGTGAACTCAGCATTTTACATTTTCTCTAAAGGGAGCAAGCAATGGTTCACGTCTCTTCTATATTTCAAGAGATTGTAAACAATCCTACAGGACAGGATGCAACAGAATAATAAACTCATTTTAACCATATAAAATTTGTATTTATCATTGAACAAAATAGGGTCTGATCCCATCATAAAGGACTTCTGTTGCAGTTCTTTTAGAGCCTTAAAGCTTTTACTAGTTAAACGTATATCTGTTTAATTTGTTCTGCACCCAGATGGCATTCCTGCTCTAAGTTAACCAGTTTTGAGGAATTTACATAAAGATTTTTGGTGGATTTGTTTATTTAACAATGATTGTTTGCATACATGCCTTCCTATCAGTGTTGACTCCTGGCAACCATGTGGACTAGTCTCATGTGGACTAGTTTTCTTGGGAAGATATCAGAAGTGGTTTGTCATTGCCTCTTTCCTAGGGCTGAGAGAGTGACTGAGCCAAGGTCACCCTGCTAGCTTAATGCCCAAGGTGAAACTAGAACTCAGCACCTCCTGGTTTCTAGTCTGCTAGTAGAAATCGGATCTCTATCAATTACAGCTTTTTCTAAAATATTAATTTAATTTTAGCCTCACTTTTGGATTGCTAAAATATGAGGAAAATGTAGCTACCTTTGAAAAATAAAATACCTTATTGCAGAGGATAAACCCTTTAATATATAGTCTAAAAATATCTAATATATTTAAAATTAAAAAATTCAACGAAATACCCTAAGTGTTCTTCCAAAGTTTTGAATTCTGCTCAGTTACTCAATTGTGTTGTACACAGCACTCTAAAGATTTCTAATAATATCATTTCAACAAAATTTCAGAAGGCTCGCCATGGTGCTTGAACTTTTAAACAGGAAAACAAAATTAGTAATAGTTCTGTGATACATGTTGTTGAGTCCTTGGTGGGAAGCAGACACGAGAAGCAGTTGAAGTTCTCAGTTTTCTTTATTCTGCGTTCAGCTTACAAGTAGATGGCTTCAGCAGCTCCCAAAACCTCCCAGCTTCTTATATAGACATTTCCCAGGTAAATGCGATACATTTCCCGCGCCAGCACCCGCGCATGCGACAGCCTGTCTGGTCCCGGGCAGCTTTGCACCTGCCCGGGACTGCCTGCAAACGCCCGAGCCGTTTGCAAGGCTCGGGATATAACACCCCTTTCCCCCGGGCTAAAACTACTACCAACATATAATCATTTATTTTATGCAGTGTTCTGCTTCTCAGTGCTCCTATCGTTACCTGGCTTTTGTTTAGCCAGCAATGTTATGTAATCCTCTAAGTATTTAGGAGACTTCTTTGCTCTCTGTGACATTCTCAGCTCTGGGTTACTAGCATGAGTTCCCTGACTGGAGGGAGATGTGAGCCTGTTCTCCTTATTTTGCCTTGGTGCCTTCCAAGGACTGTGCCCCGCTGCCTGGCCTGCTTGCTTGCCCACCGGGCTCGTCAGGCCAGGGCTTCTGTCACTTGTGACCTGGTTGACCTGCCTAGCTGTAGACCCTCGGGCCCCTTGAAGTGATAGCCACTGCTGGGCGTCTCTGTTGAACCTCCTAGGTCCGTCCAAGACCTGTCAGGAGGCTGTCCATTCCCTGAACCCCGTTCTGTGTCCGGGCTTGTGTGGGTTTCTGTACTGTCCCAAAACTCAGTTACTCCCTGATTTGGGCTAGAGGTGTTGTAGTCGGGACTTGGTTCCTCGACCACCTCCCTGTATGTTTGACCCCCTGTAGGATTTGGGGTAAGGTCAGGCCAACTTTGGGGATTGTGTGCCAGCTCTCTTGCGGGAAATGATTTGTTGGGATGCCCCCGGGTATCCTCCGTGACTGGAGTGCTGTGTGATGTGTGTGGAAAGTGAGTATGCCCCCGGGGTGACTCCCTGGCTGGAGTAGGCGTGGATGCCTGGTAATTAGGTAGGCTCATAGAATTCTTGTTCGGAGCTCTCGCGGAACCCTGGGATGGGCCGTTTGTGGCTCCATCAGTGGAGATGGGCAGCAGCTCGTGCCCTTCCCTTTGCTCCAAAGGGTCCCCCTCCCTCCCTGGAAAAGACCCAGGAGACTCATCTGAAAAGTCCCGCCGAGGGCGGAGTTGGTCGATGTGCCGACGCAGGACACGACCGTTGTCCAGGGCTACCTTGTAGGAGAGAGGACCTGTGACCCTGGAAATAAAAGCGGGGACCCCTGTATGACCAGGCCCGTAATTGCGAGCCCAAACCGGGGCACCCACAAGTAGTTGTCTAGGTGCCCTAGGATGTGAGGTAGATGAAGGCAGTCTGTCCGGATGCAACCGGTCAAGTTTAGTAGTAAGTTGACGCCCCAACGAAGTTCAGCTGGGCTTCTCCCTGTAGAAGTGGACGGTGTGGTGCGATAAGAAAGGAGAAAGTCAGCCAACCTGTGATGCCAGTCCCCGTAGGTGAGTCTTTTCAATGCGTCCTTCGTGATGCGCACCATACATTCAGCCATACCGTTGGTGGACGGGTGGAAGGGTGCAGACGTGGCATGACGAATCATGTTTGCCTGTAAGAAAGCTTGGAATTTGGAGGAAGTGACTTGAGGGCCGTTGTCGGACACAATGACATCTGGCAGCCCGTGTGCAGCAAAAATCCCCCTCAGTACCTGAATAGTCTTTGCAGTGGTGGTGGATGAGACAGGTACAACCTCAAGCCATTTCGAATGGCTGTCAACAAGGACCAAGAAGAACTGCCCCTGAAAGGGTCCAGCGTAGTCAATGTGCACCCTAGACCATGGGGACTGTGTTTCCTCCCATCTATGCACGGGAGCTTGGGGCATCTCTGGGCGAGATCGTTGGCACAGGTGGCATGCATGCACCTTAGCCTCAATATCTTTATCTAAACCAGGCCACCACAAGTGGCTGTGCGCAAGAGCCTTCATACGAACAATGTCAGGATGACCCTCGTGGAGGGATTCTAAGACCCTAGTCCTCATTGAGGTGGGAATGACAACTCTGTTTCTCCAAAGCAGACAACCCTGAGAAAGGGACAGCTCGTTCCTTTTGGACCAGAAACTCTGAAACTCAGGACTAGGGCAGTGCTCAGGCCAACCAGACAAAACCCAGGAACGGACATGTGAAAGTGTGTGATCTGTACCTGTTTCAGCGGCAACATCCCTGGCACTAGAGGGAGCTCGGGCAAGGCTTGGATTGATAGAATGTTGACAGCTGGCGCAGGGTCAGCTTCTACTACTGGCAGAGGCAATCTACTGAGGCCATCAGCATGGCCCATTTCTTTTCCAGGCTTGTGGAGTAAAGAAAAATCATATGCAGACAAAAAAATAGACCACCTAAGCATTCTAGGGGAAATGATTTGGGGAGTCTGCTTACGTGTGGTAAACAGTCCCAGCAGAGGCTTATGGTCAGTGAAGACCGTGAAGTGCCTGCCATATAGAAAGTCATGGAATTTTTTAATTCCAGCAACAACAGCCAGAGCCTCCCTGTCTATCTGAGCGTAGTTGCACTCAGCAGAAGACAATGTTCTGGAGTAATATGCAACAGGAACCTGAGTTTCCATCAGACCTGAGGTGGCTCAGGACAGCTCCAACCCCGTAAGGGGACGCATCACAAGCGATGCACACAGGAAGGGACTCGTTGAAATGTGCAAGTACACTGTTAGAAGTGAGCAAAGCCTTGACTTTGTTAAAACAACCCTCATGCGTTTATGACCACTGCCACACTGCTTGCTTGTCTAGTAGCCTGTGAAGAGGCTCAGCTACACAAGCTTTTTGTGGAAGAAAAGAATTGTAGAAATTCAGGAGGCCCAGGAAGGCCTGAAGTTCGGCCTTGGACTTTGGCCTAGGAGCTTCTAAAATAGCAGTCAGTTTGGATTCAGCAGGGTGAATCCCAGCAGCATCAATTTTGAACCCCAGAAATTCAGTAGAAGGCACCCCAATCTTGCATTTGTCTTTTTTGAGCTTGAGGCCTGATTTCCTGAATCTTAACAGAACAGCTCTTAGCCTTTCAGCTAGAATGTGTGTGGAGTCTCCTGCAATTAAGACATCATCAAAGTAGGGGCAAACCCCCGGTATGCCCCGCAGTGTGTTTTCCATTACGCTTTGGAAAATCCCAGGAGCGACATTCACTCCAAACTGCAGCCTTTTTACCTTAAAGGCTTCCCTGTGGGTCACAATAGTCTGAGCTATAGCAGCATCATCATCAACAGGCAGCTGTTGATACGCTTGAGCTAGGTCAAGCTTTGCAAAAACGCGCCCCCCCTTGAGGAGGCCAGAATATGACTGACCACAGGAACAGGATAGGCATGTTGCTGCAATGCCTTATTCAGAGTGCATTTGTAGTCAGCACAAATGCGAATGTCCCCATTTGCCTTTAGAGGCGTGACAATGGGGGTCTCCCAAGGACTGGAATCAACAGGTTCTAGGATTCCCTGTTGAATCAGTTTGTCTAACTCAGTGTCAATTTTACTCTTTAAAGCAAAAGGGACCCTTCTTGCTTTAATTCTAATGGGAGTGACAGTGGGGTCTAGCTTTAAGGACACAGGGGTCCTTTGAATGTGCCCAGCTGGGGGCTGAAAACATCTGCAAATTCTTTGCAGACTTCCTGTAGGTCGAGTGTTTGTAAACTGTTGAGTCCTGTGACGTGTATCCCCAGGGCCTCAAACCAATCGAGTCCTATGAGACTCGTTCGTTCACCCCCTACTACTAATAAGTCTAGTGGACCTTCAAAACTCTTGTATTGCACGTTAAGGGTGGCCTCCCCCTTAACACACACTCTTGAATTTTGAAAATCTGTTAACACAATGTCAGAAGGCCTTAACTTGGCCTGAGTTCCACTACCGGAACAAATCTTCCTAAATGTATGCAAGGAGATAATTGAAAAGGCA